GACATGCAGCAAACATAAATCTGTGGCACACATCTGGCCTGTAATGAGAGAGGAGAGTATTCCCTCGAACCTCACCCTGAAGCATCTTACATCATCAAGAGTCAAGTTCAAGAACCCTCAACTCTTCATGTTTGACTGTGTACATGAATGCTATAGCAGTGTACCACACACACTGTAAAATTATTTGATTTTTAAAATAAATATAAAATAAAAAAATATTATAAAAAATATAAATATATAAAAACATATTGGAGCACATTTACAAGAAAGTAATTTCACATGAATTCAGTGTTCCTTGCCATTTCTTTGTAATTGTTTGGGGCATTTACTAGCGATTTCTGAGTGAAAACTGTTTCTACACCAAATTTTTTTTTCAGTGCAGAATATAGGCTATATATATACAGGTGCATCTTAATAAATTACAATGTCGTGGAAAAGTTCATTTATTTCAGTAATTCAACTCAAATTGTGAAACTTGTGTATTAAATAAATTCAATGCACACAGACTGAAGTAGTTTAAGTCTTTGGTTCTTTTAATTGTGATGATTTTGGCTCACATTTAACAAAAACCCACCAATTCACTATCTCAACAAATTAGAATACTTCATAAGACCAATAAAAAAAAACATTTTTAGTGAATTGTTGGCCTTCTGGAGAGTATGTTCATTTACTGTACATGTACTCAATACTTGGTAGGGGCTCCTTTTGCTTTAATTACTGCCTCAATTCGGCGTGGCATGGAGGTGATCAGTTTGTGGCACTGCTGAGGTGGTATGGAAGCCCAGGTTTCTTTGACAGTGGCCTTCAGCTTATCTGCATTTTTTGGTCTTTTGTTTCTCATGTTTCTCTTGACAATACCCCATATATTCTCTATGGGGTTCAGGTCTGGTGGGTTTGCTGTCCAGTCAAGCACACCAACACCATGGTTTTTACAACATGTAATACAGTCTGCATATGCAACTGGAAATTTTAAATATTTGGCTTTAATAATTTCTCATGTTGAAAATAACAAGTTATTTAAAATTTTTATTTAAATGTTTTTCTAAGTTTTGTATTATTTTTTATTTTATATAAAAATAATATCTACTCCAATAAAATCATTACATTGTCAAATACCTTATTCAGCACAGTATTCTCTGGTGCATATTGAAAATAAAATAAATACATTTAAATATAATTTAACATTAAATAAAATAATTTAAAAAACGTTTTAAAATAAATTAAAATAGCTAACTTCAGACAATATACACTACCATTTAAATGTTTGAGGTCAGATTTTTGTTTTATTCATATTTTTTTATTAATATGTATTTACATTTTTTATCAGTATGTATTTAATTATGCATTGGTCTTTTCAACAAAAAATAGGAAATATTAAAAATAATACATCATAGCACCAAATCATTATATTAGAATGATTTCTAAAGTGACACTAAAGAATGGAGTAATGGCTCACAGAAATAAACTACTTTTAAAAATATATTAAAATAAAAAACAGTTATTATAAACAGTATAATATTTCACATTTTACTTTAATTTTGATCAAATAAATAAAGACTTGGTCATAAGACTTTAAAAAAAAAAAAAAAAAAATTCTTACAGACCCTAAACTTTTGAATGGTAGTGTACATGAAGTATATTATGCAGTACTGAATAAACAAATAGAAAAGTATGATAGTACATAGATTTGAAGCTATTTATATCCATTACACCCCCCTCGCCCCAAAGGTGTCTCAATCCGAAACACACAAGAAAAAGTGGACTATAATTGGCCCCTATTCATTTTACCCATAATCCCCCTTTTCTATGCCAAACTTTTCGCATATGTTTACACAAGGCAGATATTTGTTTCTCCTCCCAGGGCTTTGGCCACAAACGCAGGGCTGTGTAACCAGCATGAGCGTAAACCCCCCGCAGAAGGGTGATGAGGGGCGTCTGACTCGCATCCACAATAGACTCCGAGCTCATACACGCTGATGCTGACTGTCAACCCACAATAGCAGCGGATTAAGACGTTAAATATCCACCCAACATACCGACATGTTGACATGTTCTGCTAAGTGTGTTTCAAGGTGGATTTACGTACATTTGTTCTATTTCGAAAGAGAAAGAAATGCTGAAAGCATGTCACTGGTTAAAAAGGGGGCTCTGGTCTTTTCTCTCAGTGGACGACGAGGATGACTTTTGCCTTAATGGCTGCAAAGAGAGCTCGGAGTTTTAGGGGTGACAACATTAAGAGTTTCAGGGTTTGTGAGAGCCCCGTCCTTATGCAAACAAACAGAGAGGAATTTCTGCCATTGTTGTTGTGCAGCTTTGACTGACAGGTCGGCATCGCTGAGGAGCCTGTCAGCAAAGACAGCGAGAGGTCATACCGTGACCACCCCTGCTGAGAGAAAGCTGCTCAGAGGACACACACACACACACACACACACACACACACACACACACACTACTGTTTAAAAGTTTGGGGTCAGCAAGATTTTTTGAAAGAAGTCTCTTATTCTCAACAAGGCTACATTTATTTGATTAAAATACTGAAAAACGGTAATATTGTGAAATATTATTAGTTTTAAATAACTGTCTTCTATTTGAATATATTTGATAATGTAATTTATTCCGGTGATGCAAAGCTGAATTTTCAGCATCGTTACTCCAGTCTTCAGTGTCACATGATCCTTCAGAAATCATTCTGCTATATTCAGAAATCATATATGCTATATCAATGTTGAAAACAGTTATGCTGCTTAATATTTTTGTGAATTTTTTTTTCCATATGATTCTTTGTTCAATAGAAAGTTCAGAAGAACAGCATTTATTGAGATGGAAATCTTTTGTAACATTATAAATGTTTTACTGTCACTTTGGATCAATTCAATGCATCTTTGCTGAATAAAAGTATTAATTTCTTTTAAAAAACTGAATACTGACACCAAACCTTTGAAAGGTAGTGTATTAGCTCTGTACCAAAACCTAGTTAGCTTCTTAACTTATTAGCATTTTAAGGCAGCATAGGTGACCTACACTCACAAAGTTAGTTTGCAACATTACGCTAAGATATCATTTTGACCAAATTAGATGCAATCCCAAAATGCATTGCAGCAAGTTCCATATGGAGTCGAAAGTCGAGCAGAGAAAAATGCTAAAAATAAATAAACATTTTATTCATTGATGAAAATAGTCATAAAAACATTTGAATTCATTTCAAAATTTACATTTTTTTTTGTATCTAATATTCATGTGTTACGCATTTTTATCTTATTGTGTTGATATGTCAAGGTCATATTATATTGAAATTAATCGTAACTTCAGTCTTTAATGCCATTCACGTGAGGAGGTTTTGCTTTCACTTGAAGTTGCTGCCTATATAGAGTGCTCCAAATCAGTCACTTATAAGAATCCATGACCGTTAGGATGTCGCCTTTGGGGCTGTTTCTGCATTCCACTGCACTTTTGTTTTTCCAATGTTTTTCTATGTAAACATGCTGGACGTATTTGACTGTTGCGCTCATGTCTTGCATCTTTTGCAGTGTTTTGCAACGTAAAAACGTGGCGCTCAAGCTAAAAGTTAAACTTTTTAAAAACCTGGCATTGCTTTAGTCATTCGACTACCTTGTGTATCATTTTGCATTAATAGCCACACAGAACATGTTGAAAAACAGCAGGGAGTACAACCGAATGGAAATTCCTGTTTATGTTTTTGTTTTACTTTTAACTTGACATCTCTTAAAAATGCAACATTTGTAGCGCAAAAAAAAAGAAAAAGAAAAAGACATGACACAATGGCTGAAACATGTGCAATTTAAGCAGTACATGCACCATCATCATCAAAAAAAAAACTGTAGATGAAATGCGAGAATGCGTTCTGTGTGAAAGGCCCCTGAAATGGTTGCTGCCTATGGAGATAGCAGTCTGTGAGGCAGCTCACTAAGATTTAGAACAAGTTAAATTCACACCATATGAAAAAAACAGAAGACAGCATTTAATCCATCATTATTTTAATGGTGCAATTTGTATATCTAACTTACTAAATCATCAAGTGCATGGCTTAATGCCAAATCAGGCTTCTCTTTTTACAGAAATAAATATGACGCCAAGTATCATCAGACTCGCCCTCTCCAGTTTTGGCTTTTAGTGCAAGTCATCATTAGCTGGGCCCTTGAAAGTTGAACCCTGACCCCTCACTGTGTGCGAATGTGGGGATCGGAGCTGCTGTCTCAAGCTGACCTGCGGGTAATGTGTCTAAAGCACATTTGATCAGTGAGACGACCAATGCTGATAACTGCTTTTATGTCAATTTTAGACGCAACATTTTAATTTAACATAAAAAAAGTCATTATACTGATCATACTGGTAACATAACAATTATGCTGGCCATAACATGAATATCTGTACACTTTAGAAAAATATACGCCCGCATATTTCTGTGTTGTGGTGCAGCTCTGCCCACCAGCTGTGTGCGTGCGTGTGTGTGTGTGGGTTGATAGAGCCAAGCTGTTGGTGGTAGTGTGTTGGGGTCAGGGTTCTTCAGTCAGCACCCCGTCCCTGAATTGAGCACACGGTACCCCCCTCTCTTCCCATCAGCCCTGGGTACAAATAAACCTGGTAGCGCAGTGCTCCTCTCCACGGCAGGCTGTCACTCCACTCTCAGGCTCATTAATCAGAGCCGGGGCAGATTAGACTTCAAACAAAAACAAACTCCAGCAGGACCATTCTTCCACCACAGACACTCACTTCTAAGTCTATGGCATTCTCCAATTTTAATTTTGCCAATTTTAATTTTAAATTGTCAATTTTAAAGTATTTGTGGGAAACCATATGCATAAAAGGCATTTGATTGTTGTTTCAAACCTGTACGAATGACTTTCTTTCACAGAACATAAAATAAAATATTTTGAGAAATGTCTCCAAACCAAAACTGTTTGGTTACTAACATTCTTTAAAATATCTTCTTTTGTGTTCAGCAGACAAAAGAAACTCATACAGGTTTGGAATGACATCGGGGTGAGTACATGATGACAGAATTTGCATTTTTTGGGTGAACTATCCCTTTAAGTATGTGACATGGGCCATTAAAACAGTGTTTCTAAATGTGATCACATATTCATTTCACATACATCATGTATAACTACAGAACTTAAGCAAATTCAGTGAGTTGATTGAGGTGTTTAATAAGTTTAGCATATCTGTTGTTTCATTGCAAATTTCACTGACACTGAAATTACAAACGCAAATGTCCAATTTCAAATTTATTATTAAACCATATTTTGTCCAAAAATGAAAATTCTGCCATTATTGCTTGAACTACCCCTTTGAGAGCTCTGAAAAATGTTTCATTATAATTGCACTTGCATCTACTGACTTTACATATCAATGTATTTCAAAATTCACATATGCTTTTCATACGTTATCTGGTTTGAAAGTACACAGATGTCACAGATTTCCTGTCACAAAATGAATTGAACTTTTGGGAATAGTTGCAGTTTAACTTCCCTCAAAGCGGGCGCCAGCACCGTGGGCCAAAGCTATTAGCCAAGTACACAAACAACAGATAAGCTAAACCTATGGAGCGATAAATGCCTAGTAAGTGTTCGATTAATCTTAACATTCTGCCAGTCATTAACTGTGACTCGAATTCATAATGACTACACAGCTCAGAGATTTTTATCCTCACATGTGCGAGTGAAGAACAGGAGGAAAAGGAAGCTAACACTGCCACCTTTAGGTAGCCAGGGGTACTGATGCCTCCTTTGGACTTTCAGGTTTTACCCAGAGAGATCAAGGGCAGGAGAGTATGTTATTGTACTGTGTACTCTCTGCTCCCCCTGTGCACTGGGGAACCTCCTGAAGTCCAGGACTAAACAAGCGCTCACTCTGTCCACGACCGGGTTCTGCGTTTGAGTGACACGCCGCTCACCGAGTGTTTGTCTACGTCCCTGGGAAATGGGGTGGTGTCAGCGCAGCGACGGGCCTATCCCATCCATCAGTGTCAGGAGCGGTGCATGACTAATGGACAGGAAGTACAGCCAGAGAAACAACAATATTTGCAGAATATATTTCAGAAACATTAGGCCACTTTCTCCAACGTTTCTCATTTCAGCAAACTGTAATGGGGCCTTAATCCTGATTTATGGCCGTGTTTATCTGTTCGCAGAGGCGCTTGTGGTTCGTGTTGCTCTAACCTGGATCTGCGTTCTTATTCTGGAGAGCAAACATGAGGACTTTATTGGATTATCTTGACCTGTGGTATAAAGCTGGCCGAACTCTCCTGGACTTGGTTTAAAAACGATACATCACAGTGGCAAAGAAGGACATACTTGTTAGTACTGACCTCCAGAATTATTATTTTAAATATCTTATATTAAACCGAAATAGATCTGGTTCTGTGGTTTAAAAGTCTCGGTTTCAGAAGAGCTTTTAAAGTAAAAACTGAGAGACAGATTTCATGAGATGCTTCCTGCAACTGCTAACTCACATTATCACAACCTTTTTATGGGTTCCCGTGTGCTCGGGCGATCAGGGAGGGGATGCTTAACCTCAGCAGCCTGTTACTGTGGCGTCAAGACCGGAGCGTTTAGTGATGTTGAGCTTGATGAGCTCCTCGGCGCAGGTGGGGTGTATCCCGACCGTATTCCTGAGGTGTTCGTAGGTAAGCCCACACCTGCAGATAAAAACACACAGACTCTGTATTCATTCGTCCACAGCTGTTATTATTCACAGATTTGAATTCACACGCAAATGCATGTGCAACGAAACAGACACCTGGGTGATATCAGAACAAATGAATGTAATCTGATTCCAGTTCAACAGCATGAGCAGGTATGAAGACATGCGGAACTTACTGGAAGCCCAGAGAAAAGCCCTGTGTGACCTCCCCAGCGCTCGGTCCGGTAAAATGTATACCCAGCACACGCTGATCACCCTCCCGTAGACAAACCACCTGAGAGGGCGAGAACATGGATTCAGTTACCATTCAATTATATTTTTTAGAAGAACTTTATTATTTTACTCATCTTGGATGCATGGAATTAATTAAAAATGACAGTAACGCCATTCATAAATGTTTTCTGTATATAAATCTGTGACTGTAATCAATACAAGCAACTGCAAAAAGTCATCTGTATTGCAATTTCCAGACTTCATTATGCAATGCAGCCATTTTCAGGTGTGTTAATAATGAGAAAGCTTTCTCAACAACTAAAACAGCATATTAGAATGATTTTCTTTGTGGACTGGAATAATGGCTTCTGAAAATGGGAATTCACAAGTAAAAATCTAATTTTATCGAAAAGGAGTTATTTCATACAGTAACAATATTTTACAGTATTACTATTTTTACTGTGCTTTGATCAACTCATGCTATTTTAGCGAACAGAAGCATCAGTTTCTTTCAAAAATGTAAAAATGCCTTTGAATAGTAGTGTAAAACCTACATCAGAATCAAAGAGAGACCCAAGGTAGTGACTAAGTTGCAAACTTCAGACCATCGAAAAATGAATATGTGTTTAAATATTAGACAAAACTACAACTGGTGTTTGTCCATGCAAAAGTCAGCGCCATGATACTGGGCTGTTGAGGATAGTTGCCAGGGTGTTGCTATTTGGTTGCTGAGTGGTTATTAGTTTGTTGCTACAGTATGTTGTTGATAGGGTGGTTGTTTTTAATTTGAAGTTTGATTTTGTGTCAGTTCCCTTTTTTATGTCACCACCTCACCTACAGTACACACACACACACATATACACACACATATACACATACACATACACATACATACATATATAAAATATACCTTGATATAGCACTGAGTGGCATCTCTCTCAGCCACGGTAAACTCCAGGGGTTTGTAGAAGGCATGGTACACCTGTTAAACCAGACAACACAAAAACTATGATGCACCAACAATGACACCATTTCCTGCATCATCAACCACTTGAGCTCGTCCTTTTAGACAAGCACTTGGAAACAAGTGCTGCTACTGTTATGGTTTGTGTCTGTGTTGCTGCTCTAAACATTTTTGGGGTGCTGAAATCATAAATGTTGAACATGCTTAAGAGCGAGCGCTCTGGCGAGCTGACACACGCTGCTCACAGCTGTGAGGGCCAATGGGATGCTGCATTTTTGATCATCTCTCATCAACCTCTACAAGCATCAGTCAGCCCTCCTGCACACCTGTCAATCAAACCCGAGGCACACCCCTTTCCGAATGCTTTAGGCTTTGGAGCCATGCAGGTGTGCGAGGGCCCACTATAACATACATGCACGTATACAGCAGGATATTCACAACAGCACTCACATACGCATAAATAAATATTATGAGCCTTCAATTTTTTTTTTATATTTTAAACTGTGGTTAGGATAGAATAGAATCAATCGCTAAAAGGACAGACTACACGTTCAAAGGAATTGTAAAACAGCTGATAAACAAACCTGTCGCTGCACTTCAGTACTAAAAAAACTAATATGCTTGCTCGCCAATTGTACAGAGCCCACAGTTCGGATAATAAACTATATTACTTGGTGGAAGAAAAGTTGACTGCTATTATTAATCTTGTATTGAGCATTTATTCATATTGCTGCTGTTGCCATTTTATAACTGAACTTAATGTTGTGTCTAACTGCACCCATGGCAAAAATGCTGTATTTTACCTCAACCTGGTCTTTTCCATGTCTCCTTTCAGCCTCTTCTTCAGACAGACCTACACAGCCATACTCTAGTGGAGTGAACACTGTAGTGGCCACCTATACACACACACACACATGCACACACACACACAACCATATAAAACACATACACTATGCAAAAGACTCAAGTAAACTAATCAGCACACAAAACAAAACATAAATGAATTGGAGATTCATATAATTATTTTTTTATACATAAAACAAGAGAACCACTAGAAAAGTCAATCTCACAAAATGGGGCATTTCAAATATATTTTTCATATACATACATAAAAATCATTTTTGTTGCACTAAGACATTATTTTCATGAGAGTATTCTCACGGTTAAGTCTCATTACAGTAATTTTTTCCATTTTTTTTGTAATTCCTGTTATCCTCAAAGATTATGATTGCATTATCAAAAAAATACTGTAACAAGAATATTTTTAAATTAAAGCATAAAGCATTATTTGTATTTTTTTAGTAATTGTATTAAACATATTTAATACAATTTTGAAAAATGTGTAATTATGCATATATACATAGTGCGATTTATCATTTTACCATTTAAATAATATTTAATGGTTGCCTTTTGTGCATTAAAAGATTTCTAGTCATTACAGTAATGTTTTACCGTACAGTAAATGTTTTAATTGTCCTGAAAATCACAATACAAATAATCTTAAGGGTTAAAAAAATTAGGCCTCATTTTCTTTATGTAAAAGATCATTTCTTATTTGTTCCTTTTGATTTTGAGGTGAAATATACTTAGGTAGGGTGACCATACGGGCCATTTTTACGGGACCATGCCAGGATTTCTATATTGCCTAAAATATCCAAGTTTGGGCTGTTTGCACTGTGCAGATCGATCGTTGTATGACATTCACGAGAGCTAGAGAGCAGATCAGACGGCTCCTTATGCTTTTGAATCGCTCTCGAGGTACTTCGGTGTCATTCAATGATCAGTGCGCAGCCACGCTTCAAGTCGAACGAACGAACAAACACGTGCGCTTATTTGCATCGCTTTGATCGTTCTCTGTAGATCTCACCTTCTCACGTGCCATGATTGGTCGATTATATACAATACCTGCATGTTATTGGTCAAACTACTTTGGATGTTTTAGGCATTATAAAAATCCTGGCCAGGACGTGTCCCGTATGAACGGCACATATGGCCACCCTAAATATAGGCGTTGTGTGATTCGCTTAGAAACCAGTAAAGAAACAAAGAGCGAACAAGAATGAAAGCATATACATGTAACGGCAAACTCACGTTGTCATAATTCATGAGCTCAGTGGAATGGCCCACCAGTCTGCGGGCCAGGAGCTTTCCAGCCTTAATGGCTGTCGGGGTCAACTCAGGACGACCCTGAAACAGAGAAGGAGTGGGCACACACACACACACACACACACACACACACACACACACTCAGTGTTGTTATTGTTAAATAAAACTTAATTACAGGAAAATAGAAATTAAAAAAATTTCATTAAACTATTATAATAAAAGACAATTCAAAATATTAATTAATACTATAATAGTAAACTGAATCATAATACTAAAACAACACTGACACACATGCACGGATACATTCAAAAGCAAATCCAGTCTAAAAGTTCTGGGCAGGTCAGGTAGTGCTCAACAATACAACGGAAAAGTTCTAAACAATTATTTCCTCTGCATTATGTTTAAACGCTGTGTAGTTAAGTGTAAATCTATGTGCGATTAGCCTGATCAGACATTTCAGAGATTAGTATCATCTCAACATTACATGGCTGTCAGTCACGATGATGATTACAGTGCAGAAGTGGACGGCTGCCAATCAGTGCGGTGAAAAACATGCCTACAGGAACATGCAGCACCATGGGGCGAATTCTCATTCACTGACTAATGGCATCAGCAACCAGTCTGATAACTTCTGTACATCCTGCTGTCCAAGAAACTGCCTCGGGTGTTTGGCTCATAGTGTGTGTGTGTGTGTGGACACCGCCCAGGCAGCTGTATAGTAAATGCATTTCTTGGCAGTAACCAGGTGCGGCTCAACATCTTGTTTTCTTTCATTAAAAAATGAGAAGCGATGCACTTTGAAAGGGGCGTAAAGAGTAAAAGGCGCTTCTTCTGACTAGTTTTGTGGTGGTGTGTGTGTGTGTGCCAATAATCACACAGCTGCTGCAGATGACGGGCAGCTGCGATATTTGATCCCGGCAGCCAGTTGTGTCTTGAGATGTTACAGGGCAACGACCTTCCAGAAGAGCGACTGAACTGACAGACAAGAATATGCTGTTGCTTTCAAGCTGTGCCTTCTCAGTTGAGTTCGATTACCATGTTAGTGCGTTTTTGATGGCATTCATCCATAACGCCTACCTCAGCGATGTCTCCGATAGCGAAAATGTTCGGCACGGATGTGGCTTCGTCAGCAGCTACGATTATCTTCCCTGTTTCTATGTTGATCTCCACACCAACCTTCTCCAAATTGAGGGTCTTGGTTTCAGATGCTCTGCCTAAGGTCAAAGAGAAGAGAGTAATGACAGGTAGAGCGACATATCGGACAGCTTTTGGAGGCTTGAGGTTGGAGTTAACCGCTCGGCCTGCTGGGAGAATTTAGAGGTGGCTTTACGCTCAGATTAAAGGGTAAAATCTTATCCAGTGATTAGAAAAGAAAACAAGCACAGCTGGGGTAGAAGGTTCCTGTGTGGTGGTCTGACAGAGAGCGTAATGAGGAGACCTGGATGCATATCCCATCAGCCACCTGGGGCCTGCAGTGTCATTTCTGTCACTTCCTATCCGAGGGCTGAGAGAGGCTGTCGACACTCGTCCATCTACATCCCCCTTCCCCCATTTACGTCTTAGACACGCACACACACACAAGACTCATGTCCCAAAGCCTTCATAGGTATCACAATAAACAATGTTTGCAGCAGAAGCCAGAGGTACCAATGTAGATGCTATCAGCCAGCAAGAACAACAAACCTTAAGCCCCTTTTCCTGCCTCAAGCTCAGAAACAACTTCCTTCTGCTCCACTACAGTGAGACCTGAGCCACAGATACGACTTGAGTACATATTCATCGATTACTCCGAGAAAGAGTTAGAGATGCTGAAACGCTATAGAGAGACAATGTGTAAAAGCAAATGCACAAAATATCTATCAAACGCATTTTTGTTCAGCCTTTCTGATAAGACAGGTCTTGAAACTGAAGTGTGAAGCTGCCATTTATTGGCTAAGTAAAATGGTACTTATGACTAATTTGTTGTATACAAAGTACAATGTAAAAACGCAATAAAATTAGATTCAACACATTACATGAAAGACATCACATAAATTAAAAACACTAAGCTGCATTTTCAAAAAAAAAAATCTGTGTGCCAATAATGGCACCAAAAAGAACTGCAAAAATTGTTTCCTAACAGGTTTACCCAAATGTTTACCCAAATTAATAAATATAAAAATTCAGGATTATACAAATAATTTTTAATCCCTCTACAATCCCTCTAACAACTCTATTATTAATACTAATATATATATAGTTAAAAAAAAAAAAAAAAAAAAAGAGGCAGACATTACAGTATCTAATACACACACACACACTAGGGCTGTCAGTTTAACGCCTTAACTTAATTAGTTATGAAAAAATAATGCGATTAAAATATTTTAACGCAGTTAATGCACTGGCCCCGCCCCCAGACCTGTACGTCATCTTACATTTCATACAGTTTATTTCATACAGCCCCTGTATGTCTCACATCCTTTTATAAGCGATATCACACGAGCAGGGAGAGCAGTATCACACGAGTGCCGCTTTTATCATTTGCACGAGTGCAAATGTGATTTGATACAACAGTTCAGTAAATAGGAAGTTAATATTGTGTTATATTTTAAAAAACACATTATGTGTTTTTGCTCAATTTTGCAGAGAACATATTATCTTTAAAGCCACAGCAGAACTGTTGTGCATCTCCGAGCAGCACAGCGGTGTTTAGTTTCTGAATGAATCCGCGTTTTGAACGAATCGAGTGAATCAATGATTCAAAGGGCCATTAAAGTGAGAGCCGTTTACTGAATTCCTGAATGAATCAGCCGTTTGAATGAATCGACTCATACAGACATTTACCGCCACCTGCTGGTAGTTTTAGTTTCTTCTTTAGAGTATAATTTCAAAAATATATCAAATAAATAAAAAAAACATGAAAGGGTTAGTACACCAAAAATAAATAAATAAAAACCATTAAAGGGATAGTTCACCAAAAATAAAAAAAATTCTGTCATCATTTACTCACCCTCATGTTGTTTCAAACCTGAATCACTTACTTTCTTTGGCATAACATAAAACAAGGTATTTTGAAGACTGTTAGTAACAAAGCTGTTTTGGTTACCAGTAACTTTCATTGCACGAACAAAAAAATACAGAGATGTTTCTCAAATGATCTTCTTGTTCCATACTTTGTTATGCCGCTGTATTCTATATATATATATATATATATAATTTTTAAACCTCTCACAATAAAAATCATATAAATTACTTTTTAGTAACTAACATAAAAACATAAAAGAAAACACTTTAAAGCATCAGATGGACACATCAAATAACAACCCTACAACCCCTAATAATAATAATAATAATAGATATTTCTCCAAATATATAATAATATGCATAACATTTTAATTGAAGGAGAACAGATTGTATCTACAAGAGTAACTGTACAAATAAAATGATGCTTTCAAAATATATTTAAGAGCTTTTCCTTATCATTTGTTTTCTTAAACACAGATTTTACTTCAACTGAGCAATTTGCTCTTTGTTGTCATTCTGTTACTACTTTCAGACCATACTGCGGGGTGTAATGCTTAATAACAACATGACAAATCTCCTGTCAGAACACTACAACCATTAATTAAAGATGAATGCTTAAAAAACAGGGTCATAAAACAAGTCTGGCAATTAATAATACATTTAATAATTTAAAACCTTAAAATTAACATCTTAACATTTTGAGCCAATTTGCATGTTCACACACATCCTCAATTTTAATCGGTTATATACACTACTGGTCAAATATGTAGAATAAAGAATTTAAAAAAAAAAATTTTTATGTTTAATTATTTGTTATTTATTATTTATGTTTAATGTTAATAAATATTTGTAATGTGTGTTGAAAGAGGTCATATATGCTCACCAATGTTGCAATGATTTGATCAAAACTAAAGTAAAAACAGCAAAATTGTGAAATATTATTAGTTAAAAAAAATTATTTAAGGAATGAGAATGAATGATTCCGATTCCTTCAGTCTTCAGTGTCACATGATCCTTCATTTTTATGGAGTATTGGCTGCTGAAAATTCAGCTTTACCATCACATGAATAAACACATTTTAAATAATAAATAAAAAAATAATAAATACCTCTTAAAGTATATTAAAATAAAAAAACTATCGTTTTAAATTGTAATAATATTTCACAATATTTTTATCAAATAAATGCAGCATTGGTGAGCATAAGAGACTTAAAACTCAATTATTCCAAACGCTTCAATAGTGTATAATAATAATAATAATTTAGATGTTATATAGAAGTATGATGTATAATGTTATACGGCCCCTCACAGATTAAACTAAAACATTTTTTGTAAAAACGCATTATATTTGTTCCATTTAATCATAATCCAATTTTAGACTGAGCATAAGAACATAATTATGCATAGCCCAATTCAGATGAATGAAAACGTGCATGAAAGTATGCAATATCACAAATTTAAATAACTACACATTAAACAAAAATAATTTCATAATCATATGTGACCCTGGACCACAAAACCAGTCTTAAGTCGCTGGGGTCTATTTGTAGCAATAGCTAAAAATACATTGTATGGGTCAAAATTATTGATTTTTCTTTTATGCCAAAAATAATTAGGATATTAAGTAAAGATCATGTTCCATGAAGATATTTTGTAAATTTCCTACTGTAAATATATTCAAACGTAATTTTTGATTAGTAATATGCATTGCTAAGAACTTTATTTGGACAACTTTAAAGGCGATTTTCTTAAAGGGGTCATATGATGCGATTTCAAGTTTTCCTTTCTCTTTGGAGTGTTACAAGCTGATTGTGCATAGATAAGATCCCTGAAGTTGCAAAGTCTCAAAACCAAAGAGATATTCTTTATCAAAGTTAAGACTCTGCCACGCCCCCCCCTAAAACGGCTCGTTCTAACACGCCCCCACATATCTACCTCACTATGTGGAAATATTTGCATAATGCCGCCCAAATGTGCACGCAAAGAAAGAAGGCGTGGTTTCAGTAACCGCAGTTAGTGTTGAAGCAGCCATGTCAGGGAGACGCACTTTATTTCCATAAAATGCACGACCGTTTCGTGAACCTAGGAGAGGAGGTAATTCTGACTTTGCTATGACAATCTGGCGCTTCTGAATCAGCTACTGTTTTGTTATTAGTTTAAGTATTTGCTATTGACTGTTCAAATGCGGAGTTTTGTGCATCGTGTGTGTGTGTGCGTGTGTGAGAGAGAGAGAGAGAGCGCGAGAGAGAGAGCGGGGGTCACATCACAGTGGAGTCAGCGGTCTTAACCGTGGCTTGTGTACTGCAAACACATACCAGCTTCATCACTGTGTCTGTCACGCGACTCGGTTCCCCTTTCGGGCTCTGCCTTTACATTTATTTTGAAAGCTGAAGCTCGTGATTATGGTAAGGGGCGTTACATTTCCAACGAGTGCTTGCGGTGTTCGGCCAATCACAATGCACTGGGTCAGCTGGCCAATCAGAGCAGACTGCGCTTGTCGGAAGGAGGGACTTTGTAGAAAACGAAGCGTTTGAGAGAGGCGGGGCATAGAGGACCTACAATAATGTACAGTATTTGAAAAAGAATGTGTTTTTTGAACATTAAAGCATGTCAACATATTCTGTTACACCAAATACACCAAATAATGATCTTTAAAAAAAGCATCATATAACCCCTTTAATATTTAGATTTTTTCAGATTCCAGATTTTCTCGGCTAAATAGTGTCTTTTCCTAACAAACCATACATCAATGGAAAGCTTATTTATTCAGCTTTCAGATGATGTATAAATCTCAATTTCGAAAAATGGACCCTTTTGGCTGGTTTTGTGGTCCAGGGTCACATATCATAATCATATTATGATCCAGATATAATGTCACATCACCATGTCTCTGCTGATTCTCACCCCAGTTTGAATCCACTGTCATGTTTCCGAATCACATTACCTCTCTCTGCCATAAATTTCTTTTCACTCAATAAGTAAAATAGGAGAAAAAATTAATAAATCAGGTCATATTTTAACATGTCCTTAAATAACTGCAGCCATTTACTGTTAGGCCTAGCATAACATTCTCTTTGGTCAAAGTCCTACTAGCTTCTACATTCATGCATGGACAGCAGAAGGGAGAGTTCATCCTGGAGAGTGTGTGGGAACTGTGGATACTGTAGACTCAGTCAACCTTGGGCAGCACTTCTATAATAACCCCGACCATGATAAGATCAGCAAGTTCATGCTGTGCCTTCCCTAACGTCTGCCCAGACTGAGCCTCCTTTCATTTCAGCAGAGCAGAGAGAGATAACAGGACAGAGGACTATTTACTGCATGAGCATCTGTGGGTCCCGAGGCCTATTGGACACCTGAACCACAGGCAAAATAGTCACCTGGTTCCTTCAAAACAAGTTATTTTCAACATTGACGTTTATGTAATGAGCCCAAGGGTTGATATCAAACTGAACGCATCATTTGGTAGTCTTGAGAATCCAAAGCATACAGTATGTCATCAGTCCTGACAGAGGCTCTGCTGTTTTGGTGGAAACGACTGCACAAGTCAATGTAAAAGCTTTTCCTTCGCCCTCTCGGGCATGCGTGCCAATAGTCTTGCTCATGCCCATCAGTCACCAAGGTCTTGTCACTTCCACAGGATGAGCACTGTTACTGGCAACAGTCTGAAATCACACCTGTACAGCTGACAGCTCAACAGCAAAACAACATCAGCTGTCTGAGAGGATGTGGCCATGACAGTAACTAGCGTGACTTGAGTTGAGGGTAAGGAACTGAAAATGCGAGTTTAAGCAGAAGTTCATCTCTAAATAAAGTCTGTATTTTGCTCAGTGCATTCTGGAAAAGACTGTATAATATAATAATAATGAACTTGCAAACAAATGCAGCTGGCTAAACGTGACAAGCATAATTAGAAGTATGAGCAAAGCAACAGGTAAAGCAAATTTCTTGACCTCTCACGACTGGGAGATGATGCTGAATCACTCAATAAAGTGCTGCCTTCCTTTAATCAGACTTAATGGGTGAATATGTTTTCTCACATGTTTGCTCTGTGGTCTGGTCCACAATATAAAAGTCACTTACGTTTTTTTGGGAGACTCTTTGAGCCAGAAGACATCATCACTTGTGATCCCGAACTCCATGGCTCCTGGGACCTGAAGGATGAACCACACAGATAGGTCATTTTAAAGATGAAATATTCAGCACAAGCAGCAATTTAATAGCTATCATTTTTTTTATATAATATTAAAAGCTATAGAAACATTAAAATCTAAATAAAACCATTAATACTATCAATACTAATACTAAATGTACAATTCCATGTATATAAATATTGATATTATATTAACATTACTTAAAATTCAAAAATAACAATTACTGTTGTAAATAATACCAACAATGATAAAATAAAATTCAATATTCCTCAATAACATTATCCAATTTAACATTTTAACTATATATGTATAGTAAGTAATGTTACATTAAATAAACATTTTGATTTGTTTAATTTGATTAATTTAATATGAATGCAAAATAATCTCTCAATTATAATTTTTCATGAAAACACTGCAAAACATTAATTGCCCCGAGACATCACTTTCTTTACATTTATAATTTCTTGCCTATTTACTTACTTTTTTAAAATAAAACTCAAAAATAACAATTACTGTTTATAATAATACTAATAATGAAAAAATAAAATGCTCCCAATATTAAAAAATGATGATTGTAAAAAACAAAACAAAAAACAACTCAATTATAATTTTTTTTGAAAACAATGTCACAATACAAAACAGTAATTGCTCTAAGAAGAAGCATCCATTTCTTTAACTGTACAGTATTTTGCCCATTTACCCCAAACCGAGGAAAATAAAAATGTTTGTTCCACCCTTTACTGGTCTCTTGATCATTTAGAATATGGTTATCTTTTACCAGTATCTCAATGGAAGCAAAGACAAATAGCAGGCTTTCAAGTCTGAGGAAGAATAATATCAATTGTCTCATATTTGGCAAGTTAGACAAGAGGAAGTTATCTCTGCTGCTCGCTTATCAGCAGAACAAGGTCACATAGTGGAAAGACAACACCCACACATGCCCTCCTGCACTGGCAAGCACACTTACATGTGTAGGGTACTTCGGCCGTCCACCAGTAGCTAACACAATGTTTTTGGCGGTCACTGTCATCTGTGAATACAAAGAACACAAAGGTAAACAAGAACATGACACATCAGATTGCTGGTTAAACAATATTTCAGAGAATTAAGTGGTTTTAAACTCAAAATCATACCTCTTTCCCTTTGGCATTTACAGCTCTGATAGTGTGTTTATCCACCAGACTGCCCTTCATATTCAAATATTTCACCTTCCTGTAACATCGGACAGAGAGATTGTTATATCACATTAAAATACCAACACATGAACCGAAGTTGTCTACTGGCATCATAATTCTCCATGTCAACCTATGGCGATAACAGCAATAACAATTTTATCATTAACAATTTTGCTGTTCAAACCCAACCTGACACTTCTGCTGTAATGTGGAGACATATACTTTGTGCATTCTGGGAAATGACATCACCACACCTGTTTGCCTCACAGCCATACAGCAAGACGGCTGAAATTTAGTACAATTTATCATGATGGCACATTCTCTGTGTTCATATAGCCTCAGACTGTAATTACCTGATGAAATGGTGAAAGAGATGGACAGCTAATGAGATCTACTGGGAAACAAAGACTCTGCTCTTAAACATCTGCATATTTCTTCCCAAATCATTCATAATTATTTTCAGTAATTAGCTAACACACCATTTTTACTCTGAAAGAAGCACTGCACAGCTACTACAGGCCCTTCTGGAATACACTGGTTCTGAATGTCATAGTCAATGGTACAATGGTGATAAAGTGTTTTTTGAACCCTCAACCTGTAGTTCAACAACCAAGATTCTGACACATTAGTCTAATGACATAATTTACTTTTTCCAACAAAAAGGTTGCTTTGATCTACACAGAAATAGTTACCATTAACTCCAAAAGAATAAACCGTTACGTTGCTCTCGATTGACAAATGATCTCCATGTAAAATATTTAAACAATACTGAAAAAAGTACATAAAGGGTGATGTTATTTTAACAGTAATCTTACTTGTCTTGTAGCTGAACTCTGTGACCCCAGTTTAGAGACTTCACATGGTTCTGGACAGCCTCAGCCATTACTGACCTGAAACATATTTCACAAAACTACAGTTCTACTGGACTTTACCTGGCCACAATAATGCAAATCCCTACAGACACCTCACATGCATTTGAGATTTAATATTTTGCTACATTGAAATAGGTAGACATACATGCACATGATTTGTTTCATACTAATGCCTTTTGGTAAAAATAAATAAACATCTCAACAAGATGTAGTTTCAAATAAACCTCTTATTATAATAAAATATGAATGTGAGAGTAAACAATTAAAGAGGCCATTACTGTATATGTACATGGAGGTGTAGGGTTTTTATATTATGTGTGTGTACACACAGACACACTTCCTTTAAAAGTTTGAGGGGAAACAGGAGGTCAAACACCCACTGAAAGTGCTATATTATCCATTTACAAAAAGACATTAGTTTAATATTTTCAGGGAGAACGCCAAATATATCTCAGCAGTGGTATTGCAAATGTATGGAAAGTTGTATTTAAGGCCAGCATTTGTAAAACACCTGCAAATCCCTAACCTCTTAATCAGACCTGGAGTGCCCTCTAGTGCAAAGACTGTTGTTCTTTGCATTTGAGCAGTCAGACAGCTGGGGGTTTTTTTACCACAAGATGGTGCTGTGCCTCATAAAGCGCTTGTGAAAGTAGTATTTGAAACAAAACCTACCTCCCCACTCAATATTAAATGAATATTATTACATGCTTTGATCAGGATGAAGCTACACTAATGATTACCGCAATAAAGCTGCTCTGTCTATAAGCAATGTCTCAACATACAGTCATGCCACGCGTCTCTGATATAGATTCATGAAACTCACCAGTCATGTGACAGGGATTCTGGGATTTGCCAGCCATACTTCCTAGCATCTTTGACAGCAGTGCCAAGCAGTGCCGCCTGATGCATAAGCTTCTTTGGAATACAGCCGACATTCACACATGTGCCACCAAGACCCCACTTCGTGCCTAAAGGCAGCATGAGCTGCTTAGCTGTTTTCGAAATATACACATTTCCAACAAAAAGATAGATGATGACAACTATAAATGGGTTGGTATGTACCTTTTAGTGAAGGTTCGACATAGTCCAAGACAGCAACTCTCTGCCCTAATTGGGCAGCTGTAAGCAAAAAAAATGGTCAAGCATCAAAAACACTAAATTACATCTTAGCTTAGATCAATTAAGGAGATGCATTGAAAGTTCAAAAAACACTTTATCAGCATTGTACCGTTGAATATGACATTCAGAACCAATGTATTCCAGAAGGGCCTGTAGTAGGATTACTTTTAGATTACTTTTGGCCTGACTAGTTTATCACATTGATTTAAATAGGATAATCTTGTACCATATTTATATAAAAATGCAAAGAAAAAAATATTACATTTCTTTTCCAAAGGTTTCCCAAACTGGGGCTCGTGAAGGAACTTGCAGGGGGTTCACGAGTTTATTGTAAAGCTAATTATTAAATCATAAAAATGAAAAAAATAGTAATAAATCATTATAAAATAACAACAATCAAAATAAAACACTTACTAAAAAAAAATAAATAATTTGTTTACCTGCATGTCATGTGACCATTAACCATCACAGAACTGTGAACATGCAAATGTGTTACTTATAACAGTAATCTTACTTGTCTTGTAGCTGAACTCTGTGACCCCAGTTTAGAGACTTCACATGGTTCTGGACAGCCTCAGCCATTACTGACCTGAAACATATTTCACAAAACTACAGTTCTACTGGACCTTACCTGGCCACAATAATGCAAATCCCTACAGACACCTCACATGCATTTGAGATTTAATATTTTGCTACATTGAAATAGGTAGACATACATGCACATGATTTGTTTCATACTAATGCCTTTTGGTAAACAAGATGTAGTTTCAAATAAACCTCTTATTATAATAAAATATGAATGTGAGAGTAAACAATTAAAGAGGCCATTACTGTATATGTACATGGAGGTGTAGGGTTTTTATATTATGTGTGTGTACACACAGACACACTTCCTTTAAAAGTTTGAGGGGAAACAGGAGGTCAAACACCCACTGAAAGTGCTATATTATCCATTTACAAAAAGACATTAGTTTAATATTTTCAGGGAGAACGCCAAATATATCTCAGCAGTGGTATTGCAAATGTATGGAAAGTTGTATTTAAGGCCAGCATTTGTAAAACACCTGCAAAACCCTAACCTCTTAATCAGACCTGGAGTGCCCTCTAGTGCAAAGACTGTTGTTCTTTGCATTTGAGCAGTCAGACAGCTGGGGGTTTTTTTACCACAAGATGGTGCTGTGCCTCATAAAGCGCTTGTGAAAGTAGTATTTGAAACAAAACCTACCTCCCCACTCAATATTAAATGAATATTATTACATGCTTTGATCAGGATGAAGCTACACTAATGATTACCGCAATAAAGCTGCTCTGTCTATAAGCAATGTCTCAACATACAGTCATGCCACGCGTCTCTGATATAGATTCATGAAACTCACCAGTCATGTGACAGGGATTCTGGGATTTGCCAGCCATACTTCCTAGCATCTTTGACAGCAGTGCCAAGCAGTGCCGCCTGATGCATAAGCTTCTTTGGAATACAGCCGACATTCACACATGTGCCACCAAGACCCCACTTCGTGCCTAAAGGCAGCATGAGCTGCTTAGCTGTTTTCGAAATATACACATTTCCAACAAAAAGATAGATGATGACAACTATAAATGGGTTGGTATGTACCTTTTAGTGAAGGTTCGACATAGTCCAAGACAGCAACTCTCTGCCCTAATTGGGCAGCTGTAAGCAAAAAAAATGGTCAAGCATCAAAAACACTAAATTACATCTTAGCTTAGATCAATTAAGGAGATGCATTGAAAGTTCAAAAAACACTTTATCAGCATTGTACCGTTGAATATGACATTCAGAACCAATGTATTCCAGAAGGGCCTGTAGTAGGATTACTTTTAGATTACTTTTGGCCTGACTAGTTTATCACATTGATTTAAATAGGATAATCTTGTACCATATTTATATAAAAATGCAAAGAAAAAAATATTACATTTCTTTTCCAAAGGTTTCCCAAACTGGGGCTCGTGAAGGAACTTGCAGGGGGTTCACGAGTTTATTGTAAAGCTAATTATTAAATCATAAAAATGAAAAAAATAGTAATAAATCATTATAAAATAACAACAATCAAAATAAAACACTTACTAAAAAAAAATAAATAATTTGTTTACCTGCATGTCATGTGACCATTAACCATCACAGAACTGTGAACATGCAAATGTGTTACTTAATTATTAACGTATTACCTTAAAATCTCAGGGGGGACTTCAAATAAATATATTAAAAATAGATCCGGCTGACAAAAAAAAAAAGTTTGGGTATCCCTGCATTACATGTAAATAATAAATAATGTGAATTTGCGCATTTGAATATGTTTGAAAGACAAAAGCCTTTCAAAGACACAGTAAAACATGGTTAAATAACCTACGGAGTGATCATTCAAATAAAGATGAATGTTCATTAGTAGTTGATGCAATGCTGAAATGCTGAGAAAACACTAATTAAAATGATTTTTGTAAATCAAATGCTGTGTGGCCTCTCAATTGTCTGTGTAATTACAGCCACCTGACCAGTGATTGATCTGTGTGTGAATGTGCACAAAGCTGGAAGACTTTCTGAATGTACAGGTGCATCTCAATAAATTAGAATGTCGTGGAAAAGTTAATTTATTTCAGTAATTCAACTCAAATTGTGAAACTCGTGTATTAAATAAATTCAGTGCACACAGACTGAAGTAGTTTAAGTCTTTGGTTCTTTTAATTGTGATGATTTTGGCTCACATTTAACAAAAACCCACCAATTCACTATCTCAACAAATTAGAATACTACATAAGACCAATAAAAAAAACATTTTTAGTGAATTGTTGGCCTTCTGGAAAGTATGTTCATTTACTGTACATGTACTCAATACTTGGTAGGGGCTCCTTTTGCTTTAATTACTTCCTCAATTCGGCGTGGCATGGAGGTGATCAGTTTGTGGCACTGCTGAGGTGGTATGGAAGCCCAGGTTTCTTTGACAGTGGCCTTCAGCTCATCTGCATTTTTTGGTCTCTTGTTTTTCATTTTCCTCTTGACAATAGGGTCTGGATTCTCTATGGGGTTCAGGTCTGGCGAGTTTGCTGGCCAGTCAAGCACACCAACACCATGGTCACTTAACCAACTTTTGGTGCTTTTGGCAGTGTGGGCAGGTGCCAAATCCTGCTGGAAAATGAAATCAGCATCTTCAAAAAGCCAGACTGTGAACAGCCAGCTTCTTTGGCAATGAATGTTTGTGGCTTACCCTCCTTGTGAAGGGTGTCAATGATTGTCTTCTGGACAACTGTCAGATCAGCAGTCTTCCCCATGATTGTGTAGCCTAGTGAACCAAACTGAGAGACCATTTTGAAGGCTCAGGAAACCTTTGCAGGTGTTTTGAGTTGATTAGCTGATTGGCATGTCACCATATTCTAATTTGTTGAGATAGTGAATTGGTGGGTTTTTGTTAAATGTGAGCCAAAATCATCACAATTAAAAGAACCAAAGACTTAAACTACTTCAGTCTGTGTGCATTGAATTTATTTAATACACGAGTTTCACAATTTGAGTTGAATTACTGAAATAAATGAACTTTTCCACGACATTCTAATTTATTGAGATGCACCTGTATATAAGTGGTGGGCTATTTTAGAAAGAAACATTTAAAAGATGAAAAAGAGGAATTAGGGAGAATCAATCAATTATGAATAATGTATTGATATTGTGTGAATAATATGTAATCAATAAAAAAAAGTAACTGTAGTCTGATTACGAGTATTTTCAAATGTAATTGCTTTTTGGAATCTGATTACATAATCCAGATTACATGTAATCCGTTACTACCCAACACTGGATGACACCTAACGTTACCTTCTTTTGAACATGCCAACCCTCCAGAGCCTCCACCAATGACCACCAGCTCATAATCAAATGTACCTGCTGGAATCAGAATGACATTTCAAGGTCATTTAACGACAGAGACTTTAATAGTTTGCTTTGTGATATTAATAAAAAAAAAACTATAGTACGGTACAAGCAAACTGAACAGTGCATTTGGTAAATTGCGGATATTGACATATTAAGCAAAAGATGCGGTCAAAATATTTTTACGACAATATGTTTTATTATTAAATAAGCATTACCTGCAAAGTTTCTTGTAGATATTAAAGTCCTAAAGCAGCAGAGAACTTTTATCCCCTGCCTTCGCCTGCTGAAGGCAGCCATACTGTCAGCAGGAAAGACCCGTGTCAGTCGTTATAGGTGCCTTAAAAGATGCCTGGGTGAATTTTTACCATTGTTATTATTATTATTTATTTTATTTTAATTGTACGTTATGACATTGTGTCTGGTAGACTCGAGTCTAAGTTTAACAACGGGTTTAATAGGTTTATCAACTACAAATAACGAGTTTAAGAAGTTCTCGTTTACCGTGCGTCCAGCGTCGTCTGATTCATTTGAGTCGGAACTTTTCAACGAATCAAATGTTTACGAATCGTACTGAATCAGTTTGATCAAAGCGCCAATAAGCATGAATAATAATAATAATAATAATAATAATATCATCATCAATAGAATGATGTAAATGAATATTTACTTCTAAATGCAATTTTAAAATGCTGATTATATTTAGATGACCTTTTATAACGCGAAGGCTTATTAAATATTCGTGAGCTCCAAAGAATTTATTTAAATAATTTGTTTATTTAAGTAATTTGTCTTCTTGTATGTTTTTACGTTTGCGCTTTTCGCTTTGCTCCCCTTGGTTGTTGTTTTATGTGTAGTAACCTGTTTTTATACAGCCTATGGTAGTAACTAGTGTTACAAAACAAAGTTCATTAAAGTGTTCGAAAGAACCGATTCGTGGAAATGACTCGAACTTTCAGAATAGGAGGCGGGCCAAAGAATACCGACAGACCGTCAGACCAATCGAAATTAACAACTTGGTCAGCTGCGGCAATTTGATTGGCTACGCCGGCGACCACACAGTTCAATGAACAATCACAATAAAACAACTGTAGGGGGAGACAGAAGCTCGACTTTTCTGCTGCGTTGATATCTCGCAAGAGCATTGAGTCACCATGCCTGTGGATATTAATGAATGGACAGGTTCTCTAGCGCTTACAGAGGTGGAGGAACAGCCAGCCAAGCCTCTAACTGTCAAATATGGCTCTTTGGAAATTGACTCGCTGGGGAAAGTGTTCAGTCCTACTCAGGTTAGAGTCCACTGCACGCGCATGCAGGGATTTAGGCCAGTGCCTGTAACGTTAGCTAACAACGGGTCTGCATCACGTCTGACTTGCTGATATGCGTCTGCATAGCCTTTTTTAATGAAGTTTGCCAGAATGAGTGGAAATGAACGTTTTCTTTGCATTTGCATTTACTAAAGAGGGTTCAAAATGAATGCATTTTGTCTGTTTATGTAATGGACACAAGGTTCGCACTCAGCCAAACTTGCATCTCTCTAGAAATTCCACGATCACGTGATGTAATGTGCATTACACTCTGCATTACCTCGTGCAAAAATTGTGAGCTACAAATTAATGGGCCACCGCCTTAATTAGAATAGAGACCTGCAGCATAGCAGTACGGAAATTAGGCCAAATGAATACAAGTGTTCTGAACAGATACATGAATAAAATTACAAGACATTATGCATTATAAATATAGATATAATTCCAAAATCGTTTGCTAGAACAGTTTTGCTCATAACATAAGTAGGGGTATAGTACTTATAAGAATAAATGCTATTGTCTAAAGCAACTGTCAGCTGTTGTGCTAGTAATAATAATAATAATTATTATTATTAATTGTATTTCATTTGAATTTATATTATAAATACATATACAAATAAATTAGTGACATGTGTCAAATAGGACATAAATTACCAAAAGTGTTTTAAACAGCATTTTTAAAATTATTATGCATGCAGTTTTTACCCCATATTAATTAAAATACCACATTTAAAAATAATACAAATAATTATGATATTTAAAAATCAATCACAGGCAGTCTAAGTGCATGTAAAAATCGAAAAGGTTATTAAAAATGGTGGGGAACAAAAGGTTTGCCTCGTACACAGTTAGAAATGTTCAAAAAGTAATACTAATACAAAAAAATATATAAAGGAATTCACACTTTATATCTGAAGTTGTTTCCTTTTGTAGGTGCAAAATCGGCCCACATCCATTGAGTGGGAGGGATGTGACCCCCATAAGCTGTACACATTGGCCATGACCGATCCTGATGCACCCAGCCGAAAAGACCCCAAATTCCGGTATCTTTTTAGATAATGCAGCCATATTCATCATATCAGAACTGAAGTAAAGATGAACACAAACTGCAATAGTAAACAAAGGGATTCCCTAGTGAGTGTGAACATGTTTGAATTGGTTAGAAGGCAAGTTACTTCATCTGTTTTATCTTAGGGAATGGCACCACTTCCTTGTCGTCAACATGAAAGGAAATGACATCTCCAGTGGATGTGTCATGTCGGACTACGTTGGTGCAGGACCCCCTAAAGGAACAGGTGAGAGTTTAGACTGACTGGCATAAAATTACGCAATTAAAGGGCTAGTCCACCAAAAAAAATAAATAAATAAAAATATTTTGTTCCAAGCCTGTGTGGCTGGTTTATGAGCAACCAGACAGCATCAGCTGCACCGAACACGTGCTCACCAATCGTTCTGGAGATAATCGTGGAAAATTCAAGATGACTTTGTTCTGTGGAAGACAAGAAAAAAAAAAAAAAAAGATATTTTGTAACCATTTTTGTAACCAACCTTCCATTGTAAGAACAAAAACAGAATGGAAGTCAATGGGAACTGAAACGGTTTGGTTGCCAGCATGCTTTAAAACATCTTTTGTGTTCTGCAGAAGAATTATACCGGTTTGGAATGATATGACTGGGAGTAAATGATTACAGAATTAAAATTTTTGTGTAAAATATTCCTTCAATGTGGGAAAATAGGTTGCATCTCATCAGGAAATTGGTGTATGAGTGGTGAATAACACTCGTGTACGATTCTCTTCAGGTCTCCATCGTTACGTGTGGCTGGTTTATGAGCAAGCAGACAGCATCAGCTGCACCGAACGCGTGCTCACCAATCGTTCTGGAGATAATCGTGGAAAATTCAAGATCCAGGGTTTCTGCAAGAAATACGGCCTCGGTGCTCCAATCGCAGGGTCTTGCTTCCAAGCAGAGTGGGACGACTATGTGCCCAAACTCTACGAACAGCTTGCTGGCAAATAAGGAAATAATTGCGAATTTCTGTCGTTGCTGAACAGAGCTGATTTTCACTTCAGCTATTTAAAAAAAAAAAATGAAACAAACTAAATTGTTCTTTGCTTTAAAAGCCTTGTAGGAATGATGAATTTATTTTGTTCTAGTTGAATTGAAAGAGAACCGATCAAGCAATTTCAGTCTATGCCTTTATTTTTGTCACTTCGCTTGGAAGCATTCAGACTGCCTTCAGTTTAAAAAAAAAAAACGACTTTGCACCTTTGAATAAAATTCAAGGCAAATTTGTGTTGTATTTATGGCTGCACCTTTAATTTCACAAAATTGTCACTGCTATATACTGGAAATTAACACATTGGAATACAATTCCTGGAAAAGAAAATCAGACTGGAAAGACGCTGCTTGTGTGATGAGCACTTTATTTACAAATATAATTAAAAGCTCTGACAGAATCATGCCTCTTAACCTGAAAACAAATGTAAAGTGCATGCGACAGTAAAGCGTTTTTATTCACTAATTGGACTTTGTAGAAAATACACAGCTGGAGAGGATGCCGAGAATCAAATAGAAACCCGAATCATGAAATGAGAGGCCTTTGAGACAATTTCACCAGTGACTGTAGGAGGGAAAGGGTGGTGAAACATTTATTATATATAGATGTGTGTATATATATAGAAATTAAAATTCAGTTAAAATGTAATAGGAAAATAAGTAAAAGTTCTCCATAAAGCCTTCTATACACAAAATACATGTCCCTTCCCCTTCAGCCCTTTGTGCGGGTACCACGAGTTAGGATTCACATATGTATTATTCACATTGTGCACCTCAGCTGAGGTGAATTATGGTATTGTACATATGAATGCAGCGGGTTCTCAAAAAAATTAAATAAAATAAAAATTCATATTCAATTACCATAAGAATCTCAGAGTCACAGATGCAACTATCAAATATGTACATTGCTTTAATATGCAAACTTTATCAAATTTTGCCAATACTTAAAAGGTATTTTTCATTTTCTCTGGGTGAATAAATACCAAATAGATTCAAGAGGCTGCCAAAAAAAAAAAAAAACTTTAAAAAAAAATCTTAAATCACACAGCGTGTCAAAAAATTAACAAAAGAAGAGAAAAAAATATGCACAAGTGCATCTGGATTCAATTTAGCAATACAAACCCCTGTTCATATTGCTTTTGTCTTGAAATCTCTATTTTAAATTGTAATTACACTGAAAGTGTTATCATTGCACGAGAAAACATTGACATCAACACTGACAGATTTAATCGTCTCGTATATAATATTTATATATAAAAAGAGACAACTAAAGGACGTTATCCAGCATGTTATTCCATGACGTGTCTAGAAATGTGTAAGGCTTGTGCAGGCACCAGCCCAGAGGATTGAAAGGACTGTCAGTAGCAAAAACTGCAGATTTCTTCCAAAAAAAAAAAAAAAAAAAAAGTGGAGGAGCATGAAATAGGGAGGATGGTGTGGAGTGTTATGGTCTCATCTGTAGTCATCTTTAGGGTAGTCCAAAGCACCCAAGTTATTGAAACCCATACGAAGGCTCTCCATATCGAAGGCATCGATTTCTCTCTCCTGACGATCCAGCAGGTGTTTGATTCGGTCAGTGCGCTCTTTCTGAAGAGAAGCCAGCTCCTCCTCAATCTGAAAACACAGGACAGAAGCTCAAACAAAAGGGTGTAAACCAACAGAGGTGAAGAAGGACCTACAGGCTTTCAGTAACTAGTAAAGATCTTTACTGAAATCAAGGCCTTTTGGTTTCTTTCTTCCCTTTAATTTGCTAAAAACTCTGTGAACTGTTGTCCACTTAAGTTATTTAACCTCACTGAATACACCAAATAATGGAGCAAAGTAGCTTTTGGGAGTCCTATCCCTCTTGTTATGGCTTGAGCTTATGTGGGTCTTGTGTTGTCCCTGAGACTTTTGAGCTGGTCTGGAAATTAACACTTTGATACACCGATGCCACTTATGTTAATGTTTATGGATTGGCTGATTTTGAACAGTCATTTCCAGTCCTCTAATCTGACTGGATATTGTCTAAAAAGTTACTGGATATTAACTCCGTGTTAACAGAATTGTTGTATGGAAGCAATATCACAAGGGTAGAAATGTTTTTGTGCTGTATAGAATCATGGCTGCAGATAATCATTAAACCAAAATGTTTATATCTTATATATTAAGGTTGTGACGGTGAGGAAATTTTCCAACCGGTTAATTGACGTGTGACAACACCGATAATATCGGTTTCACCGTGGGGGCGGGGCTTTTCCTCTTTTCCCTTCACTTTTAAAAGCGGCATGCACATTTTACTTTCACTTTCAAATAGCGGCAATTCAGCGTAAAGCAATTGTTCGTTTTTAGTTTGTTTGAATTTCCCCTCTTTTCCTCGCTTTCCTTCGCTTTTAAATAGCTTAAATGTGCCGTGCGCATTTTACTTTCACTTTCGAATTAGCGGCAATTCATGTCAATTGCTTGAATGCAACAACAAAATACAAAGTCAAACTCACTTTAGCCTATATATAAAACATAGAACTTCTATTAACAAAACGAATAAAAATACACCATGCTATAGGGCAGGCTATGCCTAATATAAAATAAATAACTTGCATAAAGTTTAAATAGGTATACAAAACTGGAAATGAGTAAACATGTATAATATATAACCAAATAAATAAGAAACGTAGAACGTTTATTAGCAAAACGAATAAGAAAGCTTGGCAGGCACGGCATACACCTTGATGTCAAATAAAATGAATAAATTACACATAGTTTAAATAAAGTAAAAATCAGCAAACACTGTGGAACCAATTAAATAAGAAACGAATGTTTAAAAAAAACTTCCAAAATCACCTTGACTGTCGTTCGGCACGCTGCATTGAGCATCCGCGTTCAGTTTTTAATTGAAGTGTCTGTTCTTTTACTGAACTAAATTATTTTTATTACTATAAAAAATCTAAACGACGGTGGGGGTCGGTGCCGCGGTGGGCATGTGACGTAACCGGTGTTGCAGCTTAACAACGGTATCACAACGGTATCACTGTCAGCACTGTCTATCGCGGCAAGCCTATTTTATATATATATATATATAGTTTTATTATATATATATATATATATATATATAGTTTTATTATATATATATATATATATATATATATATATATATATATATAAAAAACACTTTTTATGATGATATATATTTAGAGATTAGAGTAAATTAGCATCTAATATATCTTTGAGTGAATTTGAGTTAAATATGCTGTAAAAGAAATGTTAAATACAATATTTATATATAACACATATTGCTTAACATATAATACTTTATTAAATATATAAAGTTTCAGTAAAAACAGCAATATTGTTAAATATTAGTTTGAAAGAAAAATCTTCCATTTTATTTTACATTTTAAAATGTAATTTATTCCTGTGATGGTAAAGCCTGAATTTTCAGCATCATTACTCCAGTCTTCAGTGTCACATGATCCTTCAGAAATCATTCTAATATGCTGATTTGCTGCTCAAGAAACATTTATCAATATTGAAAACAAATGTGCAAATAAAGAAAAAGTGCATTTTATTAAATGCTATATTAAATTATATTTATATAAACTGCTACCTAAATACTCTGCTCTCTAGTTTGGCCATTGAAAAACCTATATTGGCAGACCACTATTGATGATAAGAGTTAAGAGTGTGGGTACATAAGAGGTTAATAACGGGACTAGACCTTCTGTTCAAGGTGTGCTCGGCGCAGTGAGACTTTCTGCTCCAGTTTCTGTTGCTCGCGCTCGTGCTGAGCCTCGGTCTGAATCTTGATCTTGCTCTGGTATGCATTGAGTAACTCCATCTCCTGCTGCAGCTGCTGCCTCAGTGCCTGGCACTCCGCCTCCTGAGCCTCATCCAGACGGAGCTACACAAAAACACACACGTGCGCACGTCAGCTTCAGAAGGTTTACACTACAGCACAGTTGTGGTTAACCATCAATGGCCTTCTTGTACGGACAACAGTCCGAGACTGGAATTTCAAACAGGAGGCCTCAGTTATTGCTTTTTTTAATTAATTTTTTTATGTTAAATATAAATCTATACGAACCATCAACAAAACAAATGCTCGCATTAGCTTTTCCAGAATGGGTTATAAATAACAAATCTTGTTGCATCTTAAAGATAAAATCAAATTTAACCTTTACTTTAACAGAGTGCTTTAGTGACCACTTTTCATCGGCATTGAATCCGTAAGGATTTTTTCCATTCATTTTCCCATAAGGATTTGAAAAAAGTCTTCATTATAGTGTTAGAAGTCATGAACCAAGCCAACCAGCTACAAGGTTAATTATAACATTACAAACTTTTATCTGAAGCAAAAAAAAAAAAAAAAGTAGTTGAAAATCTAACAAGACCATACTTAAATATTTATTTGATATTAAATATTTGAGATGGGAGAGGGCTTTCCTCGAAGAGCTCTTTTGGTGCAATTTGCTCTCTACAACTCTGATTGGTGGAATTTTCTATATAGCATTATGGGTAATGTAGTTTTATCTGGGTAATTCAGCTGTTAAAGAAATACTTTAAAACAAGTTGCAATAATGCAAATGGATGGCTTCAAGAAAAGCATACACCATCGATTAACAACCTTGGAACAGGATTTCTTTACAGGTTTATAAGTAGTCGTTAAAAATCAAATCCCTATGGAGAAAATGAATGGAGTTTTTACTTCTAGAACCCGATTTTTTAGCAAACACCATTACAAATATTACAAATGACAAATTATTATCCACTATTTATTCTTTTTCTCTCGAAAAAGTCACATTATGGACATTAAATGCTTTGTCAATGATATTCCAAATGTCTATTCCTATAATTATCTCACAATCACATTAGAATATATGGTTGATGTGAACTCATTGGCCTCTATAATGATTAACAGAGTTGTTTCTTCACTCACTGCCTGTGATGCCATCATCTCGTTGATGCTCTGCTCATACTGCTCAGCCAAGATGGCCAGTTTGCGTGTTTGCTCATCCTTCAGGGCTTTCAGCACCGTTTTGTGCTCGCTTTTGGGGGTCACCTCTAGCTGATGGTGCCGCAGGGCCTTGTACTGTTTAGTCTGGACTTTACACGTATCCTGGAACTGTTTCTTTATCTGAAGCTCCATAGCCTGCAGGATACATGACTCCAAGTTGAATAAACCCAAACTGACAGCCTTTTCAGGACAAAAATAATTATCTAATATGCGTTTTGCCTCAAAGGATGTGAAATGAAGCAAAATATGGCTTCTTTTGGAAACACTTTACAATAAGGTTCCATTAGGTAATGTATTAACTAACATCAGCAATGAACAATACATCTGTTACATAATTTATTAATGATTGTTAATTATTAAAAAATATATAAAATCAAATAAAAACTAATAAAATCAAATAACTGTTCATTATTAGCTCATATTCTCTCAGGTCCAATAAATAATATTAACAGATATAACTTTTGATTTTAACAATGAATTAGTAGATGCTGACATTAACATGAACTATGATTAATTAATGCTTTAGAAGTATTTTTGGTAACACTTTATTTTAAGGTGTCCTTGTTACACGTTACATGTACTTACTATATGGTTAGGATTAGGTTTGTCTTAGGGTTACTAGCATGTAATTATGCATAATTACATGCTAGTAACCCTAAGACAAACCTAATCCTAACCATATAGTAAGTACATGTAGTTAATTAATATTACTCCGTACTTACATGTATAATTACACTGTAACAAGGACACTTTAAAATAAAGTGTAATCGTATTTTTCATTGTTAGCTTGATATCTAACATTAACTAATGTTAATAAATTGAACCTTATTGTAAAGTGCTTTTTTATATTAAAATGAGCCGAGTACCTATGCAATGCAATGTTTAAATGTTAAATGTTTCTCAGATGAAGACATCAAAGCATTATCAGTTAGTGCTGGGCAGTATACCAGTTCATACCGAATAATTGGGAATACATACCGAATGTTTATTTTTGTTATGATATGAATTTTTTTAATACTGCAATACCGGTGTATGTCGCTTAAACAATGTTCGGAACGCGACACTTTTGAAAGGGGTCCCTTTTCACTGTTGCACTGTGGTGAGGGAACAGCTGTATGTGTTCCAAAGCGTGAAAGTTTCCTTAACTGAAGCTGTAGAACTAATAGAACATGATGACACAGAAGAACTCATCCACAATATCCACATTGAACGCCACAAATATCCACCGCCCCCTGCCATCAGCTCCCGCGTCTCACACACGACACTTTAAAATAAAGTGTAATCGTATTTTTCATTGTTAGCTTGTTATCTAACATTAACTAATGTTAATAAATTGAACCTTATTGTAAAGTGCTTTTTTATATTAAAATGAGCCGAGTACCTATGCAATGCAATGTTTAAATGTTAAATGTTTCTCAGATGAAGACATCAAAGCATTATCAGTTAGTGCTGGGCGGTATACCAGTTCATACCGAATAATTGGGAATACATACCGAATGTTTATTTTTGTTATGATATGATGTCACAGAAGAACTCATCCACAATATCCACATTGACCGCCACAAATATCCACCGCCCCCTGCCATCAGCTCCCGCGTCTCACACACACACAAGCGCGACTTTAGCACTAGATTTGGCAACTTTCAGACCCTTTTAGCAGATTTTTTCCATAGAATATTCATACTGACAAACCTAGCGACTTTTTTGGATAAACCTTAGCTATGGTTCAGTTGGAAGATTTTGCCAGTGCTGTCCCGTGAACGCGAGGTCTGACTTTCCCGGAGAAGCGTCACCTCTCTCGTCGTCTGTTCTGTGCAGTGAGCGGCAGAGAAGCAGCTCATTCAGTTGGCCACACTGCAGCCGACTCGTCAATAAATGAGTACAAAACAGCATTTCCAAGCACCTGCCGCTTACTGATTGTTTGGAATTATAAATATGAGCGCAGTTTGTCTGTTAATATCACATGCACTTTTTTCTTTGTTGTTTTTTTAGTTTGTTACTCAGACGCAAGCAGTGCGCTGCATGAGACAAAAAAGTAATATAGCCAAAACAACCGCATAGCCGCTCTTTAGTGTAGATGCATGTTGATTTTATCAGACGATGCCGCGATTATAAATGAGAGTGACTCCTGGTTCACATGTATTAAAAGGGGTCGTGTTTAGTCACTATTTAGTGTGGTATTTTTTGACAATATTCACTCATCATGACAGTAAAATAGGGCATTCTAAGTCAATATACTGCAGTATTTCCTCTCTCAATCAGTAGAAAATATGGTTAACACCCGGTCACGCGTGAAAAAAAAAATAAAATACTGTCTTGTACCGTGAAACCGGTATACTTTTGAAAAATACCGTGATATAAATTTTTGGTCATACCGCCCAGCACTATCATCAGTCTTGACTGACCCGCTAATGTTCATAATATCTACCCAGTTAATTTTGCAATCACACTCAGAGAAACAATGAGACCTACATCGATTTTGTAGGTTAAATTCACACTATATATAGCCAAGTAATAAGAAATGCTTTTCTTTGCCACAATTGGTGGTACCTTGAGGTTCTTGGGCTGCTGCCGTAGTTCGAGCACATGTTTCCTGTGCAGTTCTCTCTCTCTCCGGTTGTTGTATTCGATCTGGTTCTCCAGCTCCGTTTGGTGCTGCAGTCGAATCAGATCCATGCGAAGTTTCTGTAGCGTCTTCAGCTGCCTGTGCTCAAGTTCTTGAGTCGACTCGTCTTGCCTGATCAACATAGCGTGCTCCATTTCCTTCTGGGTCTTCTTCTTATTCAACTCCTGACAGACAGAAAGACAGAAATTAATATTACAATATTAAGTCAATCAAATAATAAGGTCTCTTTTAAATCTACTAATATTAAAATCTGGATTTTTACATATCCTTAAGAAAAGGAGTGGTGTTTTCCTGTACAAAAGTTGCCACCACAATGCCAGGGTGTTTGCTAAGGTATTCTGACTTTTTTCTAGTCAAATCCTATGTGGACACTTGCCAAGGTCTGTGGCACTTCTAGGTTGTTAGGGTGTTCTTTGTGGTTAACAGGTGATTGTTTAGTTGCCCAAAAGAACCGGTCTCTATGTAGTCTCTTAAATTATGATATTCTGGTCACTAGATATGGCAGGGATACCTCCTTCAATATAAATGTAATGTTTTTTGTTTTTCATCTACAGTAATAGCAAACACCTCTTCAACGTGATTCTTCTGTGGGACGAGTTACAGAACAAAGTTAGTGGTTTAAAACAAACCCCTAATCAAAAGTATGCACAACAGCAATAATACTAATAGCTTGCCTTAGTAAGCAAAGGTTACAACAGTAAAAGGTATGATAACATGAATGAAACACAATAAAAAAAAGGTGTTGATATGCAAGTGAGTAACATTAGTAGAGGCTTTGAGACCAGAACCAAATAGGGAAGACATCCAACACTTGGACCAGGTTTGCAAACCACTGGATTATGCATCATCATATTTGTTGTTTTATAGACCATATATGGGTTTAGACCCAGTAAAACTTCCGAAGTTTTCCTGCAGATTAAAATATTAGATTAAGAGATTTGCACATTGCTGCATTACTTATGTTCAAATCAGATTAATTGAAAACAGTCATCAACCCTGATAAATGGTTCAAATTTTGCAGTAACCCTGGGAAAAGCCTTCATGTGTTTATCTTGTATATATACATATTCATACACACTACCATTCAAAAAAGTGTAGGGTCAGGAAGATTTATAAAAAAAAAAAAAAAAAAAAAATTCTTCTGCTCACCAAGGCGGCATTTCTTTAATTAAAAACAGTAAAAAATAGTAATATTGTGAAATTTGGTGCTCAAGAAACATTTGGTATTATCAATCTTGAAATATTCTGTAACATTATACATTTCTTTGTGTTAATTAATTTATTTAAAACAACAACAACCACCACAAACAACAATCTTACTGACCCCAAAACTTTTAAATACACAAATTTCAGAGTGCCAAGCAATATTTTGTCTCTTTTTCTGACTTGAAGCATTTCATCCCCACCTCTCGTAACTGCTCCTGCTCAAACTCGTGCCTCTTGACCATGATCTTGCGTTTGAAGGCCCTGCAGTTCCTATCGTAGAAAGCCCTCTGCTGACCCAGAAGCTGAGCCTCTTCTTCAGCCTGAGAGTGCTGAATGTTCTCCTTGTGCTTGGACAGCCTCTCCTGCTTCTCTTTCTTAGGTGTGCTGTGGTCTTCACTCATTTCCTGAACAAAGAATCAGAAGCACCATGAAAAGAGACAAAGGAATATAAAGAAGGTGATTTTAGACTAAAACTTATTTTTATTCCCAAGAACAACCCTTTTTAAATCAATATGAAAAGGCATTTGCAACCCATTTTATTCCCGTAATGTGGTGTTTTTCTATGCCAAATTTTTGGTAAAAAAGAAAAAAGTTTGGCATGACTTGATTTTATTAAGGCGAGACACTGCAGGTGAATAGGGTAAAAAAAAAAAAAAAAAAACTAATAGTTATCGCCTTACCCAGCTGATTGATTACACTGATAATTGCAAACATTTTTTGTATTATGTTAGGTTTAAATATGCAAATGAGTCATTATTTAATGAAATATGCACTAATTTGCATACATTTCTAATACAA